GTTACAACAACTATCTCGGTTGGGGGGAACACGAGAAGAATGAGATTGCATTGTAGAAATGGAACACGTTCTGACGGCTGGTTTTTTTTTCTTTTTCTTTTTGTCAACGCCAATATGATGAGATAAAATTGATGGGATGAATTTATGGAGCGAATTAGATGTTTTGTTGAACCGAACACGAGGTATTAATGGGAAGTTGTTTTTTTTTTTTTTTTCAAAGAAGAGATTGTAATAATTCGTCCGGCTTGATGACTTTAAGCAACCTCGTGAACCAGGTAACGCGTCGATTAATTTTAAACGTAACTAAAAATCAATTATGATTTCGTCCATTTCAACAAGATTTTACAAGATATTAAATTTTGGACGAAAAAACAATTTCTTCGACGAAATTCTTTTGTAGGAAATTCATCGAGAATCGGGTCTCGACAAAATAAGTGACAGAAATAAATCGAAACGAAGACAATATCCGTCGATGACGGATATAAGAGAGAGAGAGATTGCCGAATCGTTTAAACAAAGAAAGAAGAAAGAAGAGACTAGAGACGCAATCGTTATGACAGGGATAATATATTTGGACCTGATCGCGATTTAAATTCTTTCCCCCGTGATACGCTCGCCAGGTAGCAATTAGTAGCTACTAGGTTGTTTTTGCCTCGCACACGATTAGGCTTCCGTTCGGCCCGAAATCGACGATGGTTGCTCGCCCGGAGCTCTCCTTGTAATTTACGACCGTTTCGCTCGCTATCCCGCGTGAACGTTTCTCGTCATTGTGCAATTCTTAAATATACACCGAGAAACGAATATACGCGCAGGTGTTCGAACATTGTACGATGGAGATAAAAAGAAAGAAAGAAAAAAAAAAAAAAGAATAATTCATCGCGCAAGAAGTGACGCGTTATGGGGATGAGATATATGCTTTAATTGGAAAGAAAGAGGGAAAAAAAAGGAAAAGAAAAAAAGGATCGTTTCATTTCAAGAATTCGTATTAAATTATCTTGGATAAACGCATTGTACACTTCTTACTTCCGATTAATTACTTTCCAGCATACCATTCGAATACTTTGGTTACTCTTATGGCGCAATACCGGTTCCGAAAACAAACAAGGATTAGACACGGACCGTTTTACACTCGGTGGTTCGCGTACGACCGATTATCGAGTAATAAAATTCAAGAAGGTCGTTAATTGTCCGGGCAAAAGTCAATTAAGCGAACGGGCCGTTAATTATGATAACAACCCCTGCAAGATAGGCGATACCCACGATTGTATAGTTAGTAGGCGAACACCATGGAACCGAGCCGACCGAGTCACCGTGTCAACTAGGGGGTTTAAACTTCTTGCAAGCGTTACGGGATCTTGGGATTCCGAGCCGTGAAAGAAAAACGACAACGGTTGGTTCGCGTGCACTCAATCAACGCCTACGGTTCTCTCTCTTTCTCTACGTGAACGAAACGGGGGAGAGATCGATGACGAAACGATAACGGCTCATTGTCCCTCGCGTATCGGTTTCAATGATCTTCTCGTCTCGCGTCGCTGCCTCTAGCGATAAATAGCCACACGTCTGATGTATGGATTTTTTTTTTTATATATATATAGATAAGTATTATAAACTAGGTATAATGTATGAAAAGATTCAAATCGATTGGATTTAATATCAAATAGATGACAAAGAAAAAAAAATTGGTCCAATTTTTAATTTTTTCCTTTTAGATTTTACAATGCGTAAAATCTAAAAATGTGAGAAAACTTTTTCAATCTGTTCCTTCTTTCTAAGTTACGAAATTTTGTAGAACCGATGAGAATCTCGAGTAATCGTGTAAACTTAACGGGTTTAAGTTTCTTAACGTGTTAACGCGTCACTTATCTGGTTGGAATTTTTGCCGTTTCATTGTCTCTAATTGATCTTTGCTTTTAACATTTCCGATAGAACATCGAAACGTGTGAAAGTAAAGAGAATAACAATGGTTTCCGCGATCGAAATTCCCATTCTGACGCGTCTTTTTCCGTGCATAAATTTGTTCTATTAAACTGAAAGGTTATTTAAGTTCCACGATACAAAAAACTGATAAAGTTTCTTGATCGAAGTAATTGAATTATCGACGCAATTATATCAACATTGAAGTTCTAAGGAAGTTAGAATTCAATTACTCGTCATTAAAAATCACTAAAAAATCGCTTAAAAACGGATAAAATTACGACACGTAATTCTTCTTCAAGATTTTACGAAAAAAAAAAAAATGCAAATCTTTCGGAAAGTTCTATTTACTTTATTCTATTAACTCAAGAAATATAATACGATAGTTGAATTGTCCATCTTCAATTGCAATTTTTTTAAAGGAAAAACCGATTCTTAAATTATATCCACAAAGATTTATCAATACATTTATTAGAAAATTTTACTCTCAATTAATCTCAAACTTAATTAAATTTTTATTTCGATCAGTTGAATCAACAACTCATAAATCGTAAGAATCGGTAAATTCTATTTACACGAACCGTTATTTCCCGAAAGATTTAGATATCGTCCAACCTTATAAATCATACTTTATCAAAATTTTATTTATCGAAATTTTATTTATCATCCATATCGAAATCCTTTTGCATCCCAGAATATAAATTATTTACGAGCACGCGTCGCGAAAACGATCGATTTGGATCACACAGAGAAGAGATCGGCGAAAAATCTCAAAGGACGACTATACAGAGATTGTCTTCCACGTACCGGAAGTCGTTACTATCACCGTTCTTGCGAGTAGGTCGATGGATTGCCGACCGCGTTTTCTATCGTGCGGTCGGCCCGTCGACAAATGAACAGTTACCATCGTCCGAGATCCCAGATAAGAAGTCACAGCTAGTGATGGGATCAAGTTCTAAAACTTGTAAAACTATTGTAAACTTGATATAAAAGCATGCACTTGTAAATTCAAATCGAATCCGATGCAAAAAAAAAATTCATTTTGTAGAGAATTATTTTCTTGTTTTGATCTTAAAACGGATCGAATCTTTTGTAAATAATCGAAACAATCGAATTACAAAAAGTGAAAAAGATATATTTCATTCGTAATACGTTTCATTTCATTTCACATTTGCGATATACTTGATCCCATCACTAGTGACTTTCGAGCATGCAATGGTACGCGAAGAGTAACTGGCATCAACCAAGATTTTGCTCGGTCCCCGTGACGTTTAACGGCACATAAGCAGCTGTTTCAGATGGTCGCGGAGGCGCGAAACGTCACATCCCGGGATTTACTGACCCGTGAGCACCGGCTCAGACGCGGACGAGAGAGATACGGATCTTCTTTCGGTGAGAATTCCGTGAACTGTTAGAGGAAATTGTAGATTGCGAGATGGACGTGCATCATCCGTGTACGATTAAATAACGATTATATTAAACGTGTAGATTGGAGAAAAAATCGATGATACTTTGTGGAATGCGTAATGGAAATGTAATTGCTTGGCAAATAGTGTTTCTATTCTATTCTATTCTATTCTATTCTATTCTATTCTATTCTATTTTATTCTATTCTATTCTATTCTACTCTATTCTGTTTTATTCTATTCTATTCTATTCTGTTATATTATATTATATTATATTATATTCTATGAAGCATTATTTAATTGGATAATTTGATTGATTAGTAGCTTTGTAGATTTTTTTTAACTAAAATCTTTAGATTTAGTTGAAGATATTACATATTATTGGAATGCTAAATTACAAATAGAATATTCTGTAAACATTCTATCTGTAATTTAATGTGTATCTATTATTCAACGATTCATGTTTTGAAGGTTATAAAATAATACATAAAATAAATTAAAATGTGACATGCAAAGATAACTCACATTTCAGAAGCTAGGAACATCGTTGAATCCTCTTGAGAGGAGCACTGACTCTAATTTTGCAATGAATATTAAAAACGAATTCACATTATATAAGAAAAAAAAAATTTCTAATATATTCATTCAGATTGCATGTTCATTTGGCAAACATTTCTAATTTCACATATGAGCACTTGCAAATAAACTTATATAAAATTAGAAAAAAACTTTGTTCTGAAAATTGTTATAAATACTAATAAAAAATAAGTATTTCTATTAACTGCATTGCGCGCAGTCGCACACGCGATAGATGAAAAGAAAAAAAAACTATTTTATCTTTATATTTCTTCAATTTTTCTTCTTTGCCCGATAATGAACTGCTATTTTCCTGAAATTATCAATTAATTATTAATAATTTTTCATTGATGAAAAAAATATGATAATTAATATTAAGTTTAATTGAGATCATTAACCTCAATATTAAAAAAATGAAATGAAATTATATACAATTATATACAATCAATTATATATATACAATCAATCCTCTTATAACAGTTAGTTAATTTGTTATTGAAATCGTTTCGTTAACTGAAATCTAGAACGAATACACACAAAAAAGAAATAATAAATAAATAGATGAACACCTGCTTAAATTTGCGTCGAAACGTTCCCATGAGTCATGCTACGAAGTTGTTTACAAAGGTTAAGTGACGACGCAATATTCCGACAAAATATTCACGATTGAGAGATAAATTCAGCATCTGAAAATATATATTTAATAAATCCACATTGCACGATGAAATAATTCGATTAATTTACTTAATTTAAGAAATAAATAAAATCAAAATGTGTCTTAAAAAATTATTGAAACATGAAATTAATACTTTTTATAATTAACTATATCTAAGAGTATGAAAAATTCCAACTAACATTTAATTTTATTATAATAACGTTTAATAATTACTAAGAACATGCATAATAATTAAATAAGATTAATTAATTATATAAAAGTTATGATAAAATAGTAATAAAAATATATTGCGTAGTTGAGTTCACTAACCTCGAGCAGGATGATGGGCGTCCTGTCACCACGATTTTCGTCAGCAGAATGATACGTCATGCGCCACGGTTTACCGCGCAGCTTTCCAATTAGCTGGGATGGCGCTATGCGCAATTCTTTTTCCATTTACGCGGGAAATGTTATTGAGTAATGGCGTCTTAATAGTTTCTGTGTTCGCAACGTGATAAAATTTTATAATTATTGTAAAGAAGATTCAAGAAAATAAGATTCATACACAGTGAGTATTGTATTTATTTTTTAAATGTGAATATGTGATTTCTATACAATATTTACCTAGAAAAAGAACTTTTTTAGTTACTTTATTAAATTTGTCAAAATCGACTTTAATAGATAGGTTATAATGATATGATTCCTAATTTCATTGCTTTAAAACGTAGAAAGCACAATAGAAACTTTAGTTTTTAGTACCATTAGTAGAATACGAAATGTTATAAAATCATTCGTGATGATAAAAATTAATAATTAATTCTTTATGATTAGTAATAAATCTGAAACTTTATTCTTAATTATTTATACGTGATAATATAAGTTGTTCGTAATTTATTTATATTTTAACTTATATAATCTCTGATGCATTTTTTTTTGATATTTTTTTTTTTATTAATTTCAACTTTGATATAAAAATGTTATATATGAAAGAAACAGAATCAAATAATTTATTTCTGATTACCTTCTACAGATTCAAATCTTTCATTAAAACAACTCATCACGTAGACAACGTTCACATTCGAGCTATCTATAAGAAATTAATAGAAAATCAGGACACAACGTGTGGTGTGGGTGCTTTTACCAATTAAACGCAAGATTAGAAAACTACGTCGCACGAGTTTCATCCTTACTAGATGGTTTTAACCATTTTACACGAGATTGATTAAACATAGAATCATTCGACTGAAACAGGTATGTCTTTTTTTCACTCTTTCTCCATGTAGATTTTAATTATTGCGTAATTAGTAATGGATAAGCATAAAAACGTATAATTTGATATGTCCGATTTCTTAGAAATCATTAAGCATTATTTATGGCTTTAAAATTGCGTCTAATTAGTTATTAATTTCTTATAATGTTATGAATTGCTTTACTTATCGATTGATTTACATTGTCGAACGCTAAAATTAGAACAAACGTTAGTGGAACACGAGCTTCTTTTGATAAAAATACATTGTTTTTTAAAACGTAGAAATATCTGTTACTTCTATTTTTGTTCAATTGGAATCCAATAGGTGAGATAGGTAATCTTTTCGTTTGGAAAATTGCAGGTTAAGTGTGCAAGTACAATTTGAATGTATCAAAAATTGTACACAAATATCTTCAGATTAGGATTTAACAAAAATGAAGATTATTTGCATTAAAAATGATCTGTGATATTAATCATTTAAAAAAAGAAAATAAATACATATATTAATGCAGCTCTCAATATAATATATATAATAAATATTTATCTTGGAGATTTTTTTGTAGAGATCGTGGAAAGTGATACAATCTTCTCTGTATAAATATTTATACAATTATTTGAATTAAATATCTATAGATTATTTGAAAATTCATTTATTTAAATAAAAATAAATTGATATATGAAAATTTAAATTTTGAAAATAGTTTAATTCACGTTTTTGCTAATATATTAATATTATATTATATGTATTAGCAAAATAGCAAGATTCTTACTTTTCCTGGATTTAATTGCACCTCGATTTTCTTCATTTTTGTTAATTTCCAAGCTAAGATAATAAGCGTGACGTAACACAAATACAGTTTCTTTATAAACATTAAACGCCTATGCAGAAGAAAAAGGCTAAAATTGTCTCATCTTGGGCAAGTGTGTTCTATTTTAAACACGCTACGAACGAATCAATAAAAGAACTATTTAAATCGATAAAAAAAAAAAAAAGGGAATCTTAGCATCGTAAACTTTGCGTTTAAGAAATTTATTATAGATTTTTACCGTATAATCAATTTAGTTCAGGATGTTGTACTTTTGATCTCATATGAGATATTTTTCACCCTATTTTTTATCACCTCGTGCACAATCTATAACACAACAATCAGCGGTATTCTCATTTCTTATACAAACTTTCAACTTTTTCACTTCCTTCGCTTCGATATATTCAATAGACAAACCGACTATAAACTTTAAATCACTTAATATCCATTAAATTACAATCTCATAATCTGATCACGCTACGTATTCTCCTTTCATATCTCAAGATACAACCTCCAAGCCTTTCCCATCTCTAACTAAAAACATCCGCCAAAATTCCCCCTCGCCCATCCTTCAATTTTATTATCCTTAACAGGAAGAATGACTCACGCATTCCAGGACCAAGTCACCGCACCAAGGCAGATTCATACAAGACACACCTCGGGTACCTCGTGTACTTAACCCATCCTTCCCCCTTGTCCCATTGTTTCATGGCATCGTGCGGACGGGCATTCACGGGCCTATTTAAAGCTTCGCGCGACAGAGTGACTCGTGAGAAATCGCGGCGGGAAGTCCGATCGAGCAAAACATCGCATTTAATTTTCTAGGAAAGATTGCCGCGGTGGTGCGTGTACACCAGAGGGCCGCGGCCTAATATTTTATTGCCGTCCCGCAAACGTGTTCTTTCACGCGCGACCAGCACGCCGGTTTCGAGAACCGGAACGACGTTATCGCGTAGAATCGGCCGACGACACGCTCCACTCTTCTTGCCGCTCTTCTTACTTTCGTTCCCGTCGTCGTCGTCGTCGGCCTCGAGGGAAGATTCTTTCTTTCGCCATGGGACAAGACAGAAAGTCAAGGGGGGCAAGGACACTCTGATCCTTTCTTCCCTCCACTTTCTGCTTGGACAATCTCTGCAGCGTCTTTGTAGAATCGCGGTTATCGTCAATGGAGGTAATCAAGACGAAAACTTATTCGTGGACGTGCGAGAGACGTGCGTAATCCGGTATGAAAATTGTTTGATACACTCGCGAGTCCGGTGGAAAATTGTTACCTTGTGTCTCACGTAGTCGTCGTGTTAAAATCTTGCTCCTCTTTTTTTGCATCTCGATTCTTCGAAGTTAATTTATTCGAGTTGGATCGACACGTTTGCGTGTCTCTGATTGCATTCCTTTCTTTCTTTTTTTTTTTTTTTGAAATCTTGTAAAAAATCGAATTTTCTATTTACGTTTTTCTTTTCATGGTAAAATTTAAAATTGAATTCGAATTGTGTGTAAAAAAGTTGGGAGGAAGTTAGAATGTGTAATTTCGTTCTAATTGTTCCTGTATTTCGATCCTCGAGGTAATTTCGTAAAATAAGAGTAAACGATAAGTTGTTTACTCTTCGCGCTCCAGTAAGAATTCAATAAATCATACTTATCGTTTGATATATGATCGAAAATAACGGAACATCGCGATCACGGGATTAATCGAGTCCAACTTGCGATAAATTCATAATATAATATAGGGAACTAATTACACGGACGCCTGGCTATCGATGATTTACATGTCATGATAGCCTCGTTAATCCCCCCTCTCCTCCCATCTCGGTTTCCGTCGTTTGAAATTTTACACGGGGAACGAAATGGATCGATGGAATATAACGATCGTTTAAACACTGAAAAATCCTCGCAACGTCGAAAACGTAACGAGCATCCTCCATCCTTGATAATTGCGCCCATCCTGCGTGCTCTCAATTTATTATTTCCCTCTATGTTGCCCGCGCTCAAAGGAGCATATCTCTTCCCTTTCTATCCGAATAAATCGGCCGGTTCGACGTGTAATTACGAGCAATACGATCGACTCGAGTTTGAGAAACGAGTTTTTCGAAACTCGGGGAAACGGAGAATAAATAGAGATGCGATGATCTCTCGTGGGTCGAAACGGACGAATTCGCGTTTCGACGAAAAACCGGACGAGACAAGGGGCGCTGGGAGGAAGGGAGGGAGGGGGTCCATTTTGATTCTTTTCTAGCGGCGCGGTAGCGTAAATGAAAAGGCAAGCTTATTGTAACGCGGTACCTAATTTCGGTTAATTGTATATTATTACGACAGGCTCGGTATCCACGGAAATTTGCGGCACAGGCGTGCGCAGGAACGCGCCAGCTCGCGTCAAAAGGCTTCATAAAACGAGCCGCCATTTTCATCCTTCCGCCAGGCCACTATAGAAGGAGGAGGGGGAATCGTAATTGAAAAATAAACGACACGGCTCGGATTAATGATCCGATATTTATCGTGCGAATTAACGTAAATCAGAATCGCGTAATAAATTGCGCTCCGTGTTACAATATAATATTCCCCCTCTTTTTCGTTACAGGAGGAACGGCAAGATTGCAGGGGGATGATATCATTTACTCGCGTGCGTAATTTTTCATTGATCTCTCTAACGCGCGATGCGCAAGTAGTTGTGAACGGTGAACACGAGGGCCGGTCTGTATAAATTAATAAATGAAGACAGCGGTGGAAAACGGATGCGTAGGATGCCCCGTATTTTTCGCGTCTTTTTAAAGAGAAAAAATTTTTGCATCGCGATGTACCTACGACGTTTCGAAAAATATTATAACGTGTATACTACGTCTCAATTATTACGTTAGTAACCGAAGATTATTACTCTTTTCTTAATCGTCGAGCAACATCGAGAAAAAGTTTATTTATCACCCTTGATACGATCTTCTAAGGATGTTTCTAAGTCGTAAAACCTATACGGTACGCGATATCTATCTATTCTCTAAGGACTCAATATTACTAGAAAGCCTCGTTTGCAAACCTCGTTTTCTATTCTTTCTAAATTCTACTCCATCTTGAATAAACCCAATAACGAATTGAAAAAAAGAAAAGAAAACATATTAATTTAAAACAAACGTCTTCGTTCCTTTCGTGGAAAACCACCATTTTTAGAAAATCAATTCAACATTTTTCCTCCCCTTCTCTCTACCAGTCGACAGCCGGTCTCGCGCACTCTCGAGACAACTTGATAATCCGACCCAGATAAGATCGGTGATGGTTCGCATACACGAACGAATCGTTCGAACAGAGGTGAATCGTTTCCCACGACCCTTTGAATCCTGCGCGCCCAGATTCTGCTCCGTGGATAGACGCACGAAGGATTCTCGGTTCGATTCTCTTATGGAACGATAGAGTGTGTGCCCGATGACCACCATAAGCCTCGCTCCACCACGAATACGACCATGCAAATTGCATCACAAACGCAGTCGCATTTCGCAATTAGCGTGGAATGCGGCGGTCAGGGAAGGGGAGTGGGGTTAAAGGAGAAAAGGAGGGTGAAGTGTAGGCGAGGGTAGACGCGGATGCGGGGACGATCGATGTCGTTAAACCGCGAAACCGAGAGACGAGCAAAGGAGCAAATCGAGAGAAGATGCCGCCTTCTTCGAAACTCCTACGCGCGGACGATTCCTAATTTGGTCTTGATGTGCTCTCCTCCGCATTCGCTGTCACCCGTTACGGTGCACGTGGTGCACGAGGCTAATTTCTGGAGGGTTTTTAGAAAGGTATCCATTGATTGTAGGTTCGATCGTTGATAAGATCGAGGAGAGAGAGTTTTCGATGAAATTGTTTCGCGGTGATATCGAGTACTCTTTGGAATTCTCAGCAAGAGTTTCCAGTTTGAAACAGAAGCAGAGAATACCGTTTGTAATGAATAGCTTCTCTCGTTACATTCACGAATACACATAGTACGTAATCAAGTACAGATAACGAATCGAAATAATCAATTTATTAGACATGTGGACATCGCGTCCATTCCTCATCCTGTAATAATATGTATCGTTCGATCTAAAATCATCCCGCTTTAGACTTTAAAAACATAGAATTTCTTATCCCTGTATATCGTTAGTTTCTCGATCCTGGAATTCTGCTGTAGATTTTTAAAAAAAAAAAAAAAACGTACAATTACAAAACTACCTCCCGATAAAATATTAAAC